AGGGGTATTTAGCAGAAGTCTCCCTTCCTAGAGCTGACCAATGAATTACATGTGCTTAATGGCCTTTTTGGTGGCTTGAGAATGGCAAGAAAAAGGTGTTCAGTTGGTCTTTGCTCTGGGTTTGCTGAATCAGTGGGAGGAGGGATACCCCGGCGAAGGAACGATGGTGCTGGGCAGCTCTATCTTTCCCTTAATAAGCAAATGTGCAATAGTTTGGGCAGAGAGCTGAGCTCTTCCCTATTTCTAGCCACAAGGTCATCGCTGCACCTGCAGGCGCCCCAGCCCTGTCTGGTATTTGCAGTATTCTCTGCTAATTCCAATCTCATTTACAGTCTAATCCAATGTGGATGTGCAAAACCGCATAAAGTGTCCGCAGAGACGGGCGTGCTGGCTCGGCTTTGGGTCTCACCTGTTTGCACGGTGCTCAGCTGCGGCTCGTGTATCCACAGGGGATTTCAGTAGCAGTCGGAGGAATGATTCGGGCAGTGTTTCTGGGAGACGGCCAGGAAGGATAGGAGCCATGCTCTGTCCTGCTCTAGTACAAAAACAATTAGAGCGTTAGAGCCGTGCCAGAGGCGCAAATAAAACAGCAGATGCGTTTAACCCTCCTTCTCCCACCCGTCCCGGCAGGGTGTGAAGCCTCCCTGCCCCGGGTGGCCCCGGAGCAGCCGCCATGACCCAGCTGGGGCTGCTGGGGCTGGGGTGGGGGCTGCAGGCATTGCCCACATACCTCCCTTCGGCTCAGCGCAGGGCTGCTGCTCCTCCTTGCAAAGAATTCACTGGAGCTATTTTTAATGGTGCTGCCTGGGGAGATGGCTCAGGGTGAAACTGGGAAGTACTCATCCCAGAGTCCTGCCTCGCTTCGGTCCAGGAGCACTGGTGGTGGTTTGTAAAGGCCAGTCTCTGTGTCTGTTGCCCTCAGCTGGATGTGTTTAACATTTGTGGCTCATCTTGCAGCACTGCCTTGAAAAGGGGCTTTTGAATTCTGCTGCTGAGTGCTATAAAATCCGTGTGTCTCTCAGTTTCACCCTGACCCCCTCCATCTCCAGACTTTCTCCTCTGCTGGTTTTCGTATGGGCTGCTTTCTGCAGCGGTGCTGGGAGCTGACAGCACAACCAGCAGTGAATAAAAAGTGTGGCCCTGATTCAAGTGCGGCCTGAAAAGTATCCAACTGATATGCATATAATGAAAGGATGTCATTTTCCTTTTTTGCAAAAGCTGATTCTGGTTTTTGAGCAGATCTTAACCTTGGAAGAAGTTTTTCCTCTTACATGTTTCATGTCTAAGGTTTGAAGATCACCTTCCTGCCTCCCTCGAAAAGACTGAGCTTTCTTTTTAGCTACTGCACCCTGTGAACACGGGCTGTGGGCCGGGAAAGGGTTTTGTGCTGCGGGTTGCGTGCACTGGGCTCTCCCAGGGCAGCTGGTATTTGTCTCCTGCTTTGCAGCCAGGGCCAAGTTTTTCTCTGCGTTAAGCTCCCAGGCACTGCCAGCCACGTGGATAAATAATAAATTCAGAAATACTCTAGGCAAGTTAGATGTTATTGTTGTGGCTGGGCCCTTTCCTCCAGGCTGTGCTTTGTCATGGTGTTGCTAAACCCTCAGCGTGGCTTTATGGAGGGCTGTGAGCAGCAGTGCCTTCCCTTCATGCACTGGGGGTGCGTGGCACAGCCAGGGAAGATGTACTTCAAACACCATGCCTAAGCCAGATGTTCATCACATGGATGCTGCTATAGTGAATGATCTCAGCGATGGAGGGACCCGCTGCAAGGCATCAGCATCCCTGCCCGGGCAGGCTGCTGGCCAGGGGAGAGCGGCTCTCTGCCCTCACCGTGGCCTCCCCAGGACACTGGCAGGGGCAAACATGGTGTGCTGGAGCTGCCAGCCTTGGAGCTGCAGCTGTGTTGATCTTTGTTCCACCAGATGAAACACTTCTGGATGACTTTGCAAGCACGGGGACAGGAGCAGAGGTGAGGCAGTATCCTACAGGGCGAGGGATCCCAAAGTCGTGCTGCTCAGCTCGGTGTCACAGCTCTGTGTGTGGAGCTCAGGAGCTGCCCGTGGCCCCCCTGGCCTCACACCTCTGAGCCAGGCAGGGCTTGTGGTAGAGCCCTGCTAGCCTTAGGGCCATGGTGGCTCGCAGCGATGGCTCAGCTGAGCTGGCTCAGCTCCCCACCACCCACAGCATCCTCGCCGCAGCCTCTGCAACCCAAGTTGGGGGTCTTCCTAGTCTCACCCACAGGAATTGCAGTACTGAAGCCCCATGTAGCAGCCAGATAGCATCCAGCAGCTTCCCTGGAGAAAAGGAAATCTCCAGAAGAGAAGAGTGTAATTGGGAGCCACCTTGTCACCTCCAACACCTCAGGCTGTTCCCTTGTGTTAGCCCCAGATGCTGGGGTAGAGCTGAGCAGGTGGGAGCCATCACACCCATTGGGTGACCCAACAGCATGAGCCCAGCTCTGTCGTTACTAGTGGAGGGAGCAGACCCTGCATCCCGTCCACTTCCAGACTATTTTTTGGAAGTCACCTTTAGGAAAGTAGGACAAAGCCAGGGGTCAGAGCCGGGGTGAAGAGCTGGATCCTCACGCTGCAAGCTTCTTTCCGGCGCCGGGCAGGCTGTGTGCCCCACGCACAGCGCACCCAGCACGCACTGATCCCCCAGGCACAGAGAGCACAGAAACATCCCCTTTGGCCCCTGCCAGACTGTAGTGGAATTAATCATGCTGATTATATGCTACCAAAAAAGGAGGTGCTTTCCCTGTTCAGAGCTGCCTCAGACCTCCTGCTTGCGAGCAGCAGCTTAAAACTGCTGTTTTCTGCCTCATCGTGTCTTGTCTCTGGGTTTTTCAGGAGTTGTAATAATTTTGGATAAAAAGACCAAGAATGGCAGCAATCCCAGGCAGCTCAGTCTGCAGAGAAAGCGGGGAGATAACGTGTGAGTGTGGGCAGGGAGGTGAATTGTGGCTCCAGTGGAGCAGGATGTCATCCCAGGGAAAGACAGGTTGAGCCACAGCAGCTCCTCACCCTGTTCTCTGTCGCAGGACCCTGAACAGTGTTTTTGGCTCCCTGTCAAGTCACACTGTTGCCTCTATCTGTTGGGATTGATGCCCCACGTTTAGATCTTTCCTCACAGCTACTCAAAATGGGGGGTGTGTGTATGTGTATATGTGTATAAACATGTCTATTACCTTCTAAGGGTCTCAGAACAGCATCTCTATCACTTTTTCATTGCACCTGTCGAGTATGCAGACTAAAGCCAGTCTTGTCTGCATACTGCATCTCAGTTTAATGGGAAAGAATTACTCCTGCTTTCATGCCTGACAGTCGAAGAATTCCACTGGAGCATTTTCACTGTAGGGATGAGAACTGCATCTTTCCTCATTTTTTGTCCTAAAACGTGACCAGACACCAATCTGAGTCTGAAAAGGACTCATCAGACATCCTAAGACCACGTTAAAGGTTGTAATTCATAGGGAATTGGTGTTTGAGGGCTGCTAATATCAGAAGGATATTGACCACTTGGAGTGAGTCCAGAGGAGGCCACGAAGATGCTCAGAGGGCTGGAGCACCTCTGCTGTGATGAAAGGCTGCGAGAATTGGGCTTGTTCAGCCTGGAGAAGAGGAGGCTCCGAGGAGACCTCATTGCAGCTTTCCAGTATCTGAAGGGGGCCTACAAGGGTGATGGGAGAAGACTTTTTACAAGAGCCTGTAGTGATAGGACAAGGGGTAATGGGTACAAATTGAAAACAGGGAGGTTTAGATTAGATATCAGGAAGAAATTCTTCACAGAGAGGGTGGTGAGGCACTGGAACAGGTTGCCCAGAGAAGCTGTGGATGCCCCATCCCTGGAAGTGTCCAAGGCCAGACTGGATGAGGCTTGGAGCAACCTGGTCTAGTGGAAGGTGTCCCTGCCCATGGCAGGGGGGGTAGAACTAGATGATCTTTAAGGTCCCTTCCAACCCAAACCATTCTGTGATTCTAACTGCTTATCTAACTGTCCACCCAAAACCAGGTGGGTTGCACGTGCAATGCAGTGTATGCTGCATTACGTGCAGCAAGGCAGGTGTGGGGAGTGTTGGCAAACATGATGGTGAGAGCATGGGGAAAGCAGCTCTCTGTGAGCCCCGGGTGGAACAAAGCAGCTGAATACATAGTGCTTCGCCCTCCCTTATTTTTAAGGTGCAGTTTTGCTGTTTAAGTCAGCTCCTTCCCAGACCACGGGCAGCTGGGCTGTAAAGGCAGCCCTGCTTTTAGCATAAAGATCACAGGGCACTGAGCATGAAGCATGCGAGGAATATGACAGCCGGCCGGCGAAATAACTCTGATAGCCTTACAGCCCTATGGAGCAAGGAGGAGAAGTGCTGGGAAGGAGTGGAGAGGACTCAGGGAGCCAAACTGAGAGGGAGGCAATAGCTCTGCCTTTCCCAGCACCGGTGAGAGCTGCCCCCCAGGCTGTGTCAAGTAGGGGAGTCCCTTGGACAATGTGTGTGGTTTGCTGGAGAGCTACAGGAGAGACATTTGGGGTTTACCCCAAATTACATGTGCAGTGTGTTGGGCAGGGGCACGCTGGCTCTGGGGAGGTGCAGCAGCTCAGGGCTGGTGACAGCACAGCTGTGTTCAGCCATTGCATTATTGTCCCCGGTGCTCCAAAGTGCCTGAAGTGATGCTTTAGGCATTGAGCCCGTTTTTCAGTGCGTCGCAGCACGGCAGCAAGCCTGTTTTGCAGGACCTGAACATGCTCATGTTTGCAAATACACTTGCCCCATTCCCTTGTGTGGCTACATGCAACCTTCACACCTCAGCTTCAGCTTCTGTGCCCCTCACTGGTTGAAAATCTGGCCTTTTCTCCTCAAGTGTGGGGGTTTTGGGTCAAGGAGGTAAGCGCTGAGTGCTGTTAGGCCAGACAAGCCAATTTGACTTTGTTGCTGGACAGGGTCTGCTGCTCGAGCTGGGGCAATCAGCTCAGACAGTGCTCACTGTTGTCCCCTCTTCTCTCCGCAGGACGGCTCACGCCAAAGCCAAGGCTGAAGGGTCTGAGCAAGCAGCTCAGGCAGCTAACAACGAATCGGGCATAGCCAGAATGATGGCCAGGGAGCTCTCCCCGGACTTCTACCAGCCAGGTAGGACCACAGGCGTCTTCTAAGAGGATTTTGCAGATTTCTTAGGGAATCTGTTCACCTCCTTTATAACTCCATAAGTTACCCTCCTGTCTATCCTAAATCCTCTTCTGCACGAGTTCAGCAAGCCCCCTGCCCTGGATGATTTGCTGTCTTTACATCACTGTTTTACCTGCTGGATTATGTTACCATAGCCTGGAGGAAAAACCCAAAGTACCAGGCAGGGCAGGCAGTGAGCTTGCGTCTATTTGCAGTGCTCCTGTAGCTATATCCCTTGTGGCACATTGACTCACAAGCCTGTATCCTGTGGGGCCCCACACCACACCAGGGTACAACCAGACTTGGCTAATTAGGGGCTGGAATATCCTATAAGAAAGTTGCGAATGCAAACTACTACTTCCCTGATTCTCTATTTATTTGTTAGTATTACTGCTGATTATTTGACTTGGGAAATTCTTCTGTGAGACCAAACACTGGGAATTAGAAGGTAGGAAGTGTAATATTAGAAGCAGCATTGTGAATGCCATTACCTTTCCCTAGACCAAGTTAGGTAGAGATCTGTTCTTCCTGGAGAGCTTTCCTTCCAGAGAGAGAAGGTAATAACAGGGCAGAAAACAAGGATCCAAGTGCCTACACCTTTATCCTGTCTTTCGTACTCTCCGGCTTTGTTACCTGGAACAAGTGCCACGTGGCTGCTGAGGAGGGATCACAGGGGACCATCAGAGCAGCAAAACTGGAGGTAGAAGCCAAAGGTTGACTCCTGCTCATCAAAACCTGCTGCCTGCTCCTGCTCTGATTTTGGTGCCTCTGGGTCTCCGGTACTACCGCCCCTGGTACAGGGCACGCAGTGGGAAGGGGAACGGCTCACACCTGGTGCTTGACCAGGGAGGGTCATGCTGACAAATTTGCCTAAATTCCCTGTACTCCCACCTCGCCCTACACCTACTATCTGGGGAGATGCGGTGCTGGAAGGCTGCCCATTCCTTCCCGCTGCTCAGCGAGGCCCGTTGGAGTTGGCGTTGAGTGGGGAAACACCACAGCGCCCGGCCATGGGCACGAGCCAGCACGTGGCACTTCATTTAACAATAGCTAAACGTCGCTTGATCCTGACATAAGCCCCCCAGCTGCCACTCACAGCTCCACATTCACCCTTTGCACACCAGGCTATTTATAGCACACAGGCGAAGGAAACTGGAATTCCTGATGGGAGGTTTTTGACGTCTAGCTAGATTATTTTTTCCACCCATGACAATTGAATGAGACAATTGAAACGGTCTCTGCAAAATGCCTGAAGCAGCCTGGCCTCTGCTTCTGGCTCCTTGGGTGCTGAGCCCTCTTGCCACTTTTATGCAGAGCTTTGCTTGGGTCCTGGCCTCTCTCAAGGGCCTTGTAAGCTGCTGATGCATGGTTTTCTTCCATGATTCTTTTAGATATCTAAATTCCCTAACTGCACAACAAGGAGAAATGTTTCTTCCTGCATGGCTGCACTGTCCAGGAACAAACAGACAAAAGTCCACCTTTGCTAGGACTTGGAGCTGCTGGTCACACAGCTTGGCAGTGTCTGGCATTTCCCCCTGCTACCCTGGCAGGGAGGCCCTGTGTCTGCACAGGGCAACGGCACTCTGCAGCCTCATATCCCTAACAACTATTGAGCCCTGGGTTTCATTTAGGATATCAACCCTAATAGCTTAGAGGAGAGGGATGAAGCCAAAGCCCCTGCGGAAATGTCCCTGCTGGTAGGTGAAGGTGGGAAGTTGAGGAGGATCTGAGCTGAGCAGTGCCCTCTAGGCAAGTGGCGTTTTTTGGTGTGAATTATTCAGGAGAAGAAAGCAGAAGGAGAGAGCAAGGAGCCTGGAGCTGCAGGCAGCCTATTTTGAGGAGTCTGAACAACTGTTGAAACAGCTTCCAAACAATCCACTTGCAGCCAGAAATAAATGGCCCTGAATGGGTCGCCTGCTGATTGACAGGAGCGTGCAGGCAGGGCAGAGCAGCTAAAATCAGTGTCCTCTTTCGCCCCACTGCCCCCTCCCAGGGGAGGCATTGCCTGCGTGGGCAGGAGGTAGCAGTGCACAAATTACACCGCTGATTTATTAGAGGGAAAGGAGCACCAATCCCTATTTCCCAACTAGGCTCAAGTCTGCATCGGTTCTTGGGGTGGAGGAGACGAGGGGAGGAACTGCGAGGCAGCTGGAGACGGTGCGGCTCCAGGGTCTGCGCTGTTTGGGAGCACAGAGCAAGCCCTGTATGTCTGCATCCCTCAGCATCCCTTGGATTCAGCAGAATGAGGCCAAGGCCACTTTTAAAAGCAGGCGCTTTGCTTTCAAACAAGCTGCTTTGTGACCTCGCACTGCCCGTAAGGCACATGCTCTTGTTCTCACCTGCTGTGAGCATCGCGGTGACACGCAGAGACCCCTGTCCCAACACAAGTCCCAGTGTGCAGAGCACCGTGCAGGGTTGTTATTCCAAAAGGTATTTTCAGTTGTTCAGTGGTGGATTTTGCTCAGCCGGATGCCCAGCATGATGGGTTTCTTTCGTGTCAGGCTCCAGTTGACTTTCCAAGACCCTATCTGGGCTGCAATTTGCTCTGCAGACACGGCCTGGGGTTAACAAGTAAAGATTTAATGATAGGTGAATAATTGAAACGAGGGCAATGTTACTAAGAGCTGACAAGTCCGTGTGGGGGATGAGGCCAGAATGAAAGCCGAAGCCCTGAGTCACCTTGGGTGACAGTGCCAGGTGATTCTGCTGCTGTTGCGGGGCTCGGTGCAGAGAGGAGGGTTGTGAAGCTGCCAACCCTGCTCCATGCCTGAGAAACGTGTTTTCCCCTCCACGAGGGATGACGGGCAGATAATTTGGGGATGCCTGCTCTTCCTGAGGAGACTGGGCATCCCTCGTGTCACTTGTGAAGTTGCCACGTTATCAGGCACCGAAGAAGACACAAGGAAGAGTTTCCCAGTTGTTAAAAAAAAAAAAAAATCTTGGATGGGAGCTCGATCCTCGATAACCCATGTATGACTGCAAAAACCTAGGCTGCAGATTTTCACTGTCTCTACTCTCATCTGGAGCTCCTTGCCTGCTCCTTTGGCTCTTCCCAGCTGGCCGGCATGCGACAGGTCTCAGAGCCTCCAGCTCTTCCTGGGGAAATCCCTTCTGGAAACAGGTTCTGGTTTGGGAGCACCTCCTCTCCCAGCCTGGACCCTCTTGCAGTCACCCCCAAACCCGTGGGGGCTGGGGGCACAGCTGCCAAAGGCATGATGATGGCACAGACCTGGAGTGGCCTGCAGTCCCTCCGGCCTCTGGGGCAGCTCCTCACACAAACCCCTCTCTCCGCAGGCCCCGAGTACCAGAAGCGGAAGCTGCTGCAGGAGATCATGGAGAATGCTGAGCACACTGTCAACATGGAGGAGGAGGCACCACGGCCCGAGGGTGCCCCACCACCCCCC